CCAAGCTCTTTTTTTTTTTTTTTTAATTTCTTACAAAACCATGTGTTCCAGCCAAAGAGGACACTGCAGGCCCTCTCCCAGGCATTGCAGTTTGAGTGGGGAAGCCCCCATGAATGAGTGGCTGCCAACCCCAGAAGAACTGTCTGCCCCTCTGCACAGGGCCAATGTGAGGAAGGGGGTCCAGCTGGAGGCTCTGTCCTGCCCTCCCCCCTCAGCTGCTGGGAGAGAAGGAAGACCTGGGTCCCTGGTGCTCTTAGTGCCTGCAAGGGAAGGAGGGAGAACAGGGTCTGAGGGGAGGAGGAAAGGCTGGGGCCCAGGATGAGGCAGGCCAGGGGGCAGGCCCACAATAGCTCACCAAGAACGTGCGATGTTCTCAAACCAATATGGAGACACCAATGATCACTGCCACAATGAGGACAGTGACAGACAGACAGATGGCGATCAAAACTTTTTTCTGTGGGAGAGGAGTTCAGAGAAACTCACTCAGGAAGGAAGGGAAGGCCACCCAGGGCCTGGGATGGGACGAGGGGACAGGGAAGCTCACCTTCCGTGCCTTCTTCTGGTTCTCCAGGGCCATCTTGACATGTTCCTGCCCCCGTTCCACATAGTCTGCTGAGCTCAGGATGTTTTTCTCAATCCGGTTGATCATCTCCCCCTGCTCAGAAGAGAGGATGGTTCAGGCAGGTGGGGATAACTGGGGATAGAGGGCCCAGTGGCTCCTGTTTGCTCACCCTAGTTCAGGTGCCTGAAGGACATTTTCTGGCAGAAAACACTGCACTGACAAAGATGCGGGGGCAGGACCACATCTGACAAAAGTTCACACTCTTGAGGGTGGCTTCCAGGCCCCCTTTTATCTGCTCCCTTACCCCGTAAAACCTTCATTTGCAGTGGTGGCTTGGAGCCAAGTGCCTTAAGAGGCTCACACCTTTTCACAGAGGGTGAACTTTTGTCCCCTTGTAAATCTGTCTGAATTTGCCCATTCTTCTAAGGCCTGCCTCTCAACAGCTGTGAAGCCCTCCCCATCCCTGCCTCCTCATCCCGGCCAGCCTTCAGGTCCTGGTGCTCCTACTGAGTGAAATCCCTTCCCCATGACTCCCAGCTACACAAGGGCATTGGCTGCAGCACTAGTGAGTCAGCTCCTCCACGACAGCGCTGGAAGCTTACCTCACCCCATACAACCAGGGCCAGGAGAAGGACACTACCTCCCACCCCGACCTCATACAGATTTGAGGACAAAGGCCCACTGTGAGACAACTTTGACTAAAGCTGTTAGAGGTATAAGGGTGGATTGTATTGGTGAAGGAGGAGCCAGGGTTGGGGCTATACCTGGGGTGGGCTAAACTGGTGGATAGGGTGAGATGCTGCATATAGAGGAGTGGCCACCTGGGTAACTGTGGAGGTAGAAGGAATTCTGGGGCATGGCTAAGGATGGAAGTAAGGGCCAGCCTGGGGGCATGGCCCAGCCTGGAGGAAGATAAAAACCTCAGGGAGAAAGGCTTAAGGGTGGAGATGGGCTGACAGTCACAGCTGGGGTTCTTTTCTTTATTATTTTTTTTTTAATGTTTATCCATTTATTTTTTTTTTTAACGTTTATTTATGTTTGAGACAGAGAGAGACAGAGCATGAATGGGGGAGGGTCAGAGAGAGAGAGAGGGAGACACAGAATCCGAAACAGGCTCCAGGCTCTGAGTTGTCAGCACAGAGCCCGATGCGGGGCTCGAACTCATGGACCGCATGGACCGCGAGATCATGACCTGAGCTGAAGTCGGACGCTTAACCGACTGAGCCACCCAGGGGCCCCTATCCATTTATTTTTCAGACAGAGAGAGAAAGAACACAAGTGGGGGAGGGGGGCGCGCGCGCGCACACACACACACACACACACACACACACACACACACACACACACAGCATCTGAAGCACAGGCTCTGAGCTGTCAGCACAGAGCCTGATGCAGGACTTGAACTCCCGAACTATGAGATCATAACCCAAGGTGAAGTCAGATGCTTAACTGACTGAGCCACCCAGGCACCCCCACAGCTGGGGTTCTGACTGAACATGGACTCACGTCCCGCGGCTAGGTCAAGCCCAGCCAGCTATCCTGGGTGCCCACCTGCACCTCCACTTCAGTAGCCAGAAAAGTGAAGATCTCATGAAGTTCACGGATACTGCGTTCAAGCTGCTGGATCTCACTGTGCCGGGCTGAGATCTCATTTAGGGCCTGTCGAGTCACTTGTGTGTCCTTCAGTATCTGGGGAGTGGACAGGAATGGACAGATGGGTCACAGGGAAATCAGCAGCAAGTGAGAAGTTCCTGTTGAGCTTTCGGGCAGCCCTTGGGATTAGAAGTGGGGCTAGGGCCCTGATGAGTGACTCTAGGCATGCTAATTCACTCTCCTCTGGGCCTCAGTATTCCCTCAATCAAAAAGGGCCAGGCCTCAGAGAAGATGGGAATCCCAGAAGTGGGAGCGGGCTGTGGCCACTCACATTGGATACAAACACCTCACTCTGCCCACTGTCCAGCATCTGCTCCAGCTCTTCGTCAGACACCATTCCAGCATTTGCTGCGAAGGAAAAGGCCAGGCTCAGAGCTGGGTCGGGTTACCTGACCCTGTGGGCCAGACACCACAACTCACTGATCTTCAGCTGCCTCCGAATCCGCTCCACATTCTTCTCCCGATATTCCGACTGCATCAAGTTGCACTTGTTGATGAGCTCCACGAATTGCTGGGACAGGACCCCATGCTAAGGATGGAGAATATAGGCTGGGCACCCCAGGAGGATTTGGCCTCAGCATCCCCACGGGTAGAGCGAGCAAACAGCATAAGTACAAGTGCCTGCCCCCTTAACCACCCTTCTCTCAAATTAAAAGCCAAAACCCTTACCAGGGCTTATAAGGCCCTATATGACCTTCCCTTCCCCCATTTCCCCTCTGACCTTATCTTCCCAGGTGTTCCCTCACTCACTCCCTCCAACCACAGTGGGCTCTTTACCCTCTCCCACCAAAGCCACTTCTACCTCAGGCCTTTGCACTCACTGCTCCTTGGTCCTAGAATGTTTGTGCCCCACAGGAGCCTTTAAATCTTTGTTCCAGTATCACCTTCTGAACAAAGTTTTCTTACCTTATTAAAACCAACCTGCTTTCTGCCGGCACTCTCAATCCCTTTTCTCCTCAATTTTTCCCTTAACTATATTCTAAAATAGTGTACTGCTTTATTATGATGTTTGTCTCTCCCCACCAGAATGTGAGCTCCAGGAGGATAGGGATCTTTGGCTCACTGCTACATCTCAAACAGCTAGAAAAGAGTCTAGCACACAGTAGACACTCAATACATACCTGTGAATGCTTGCTGAACACCAGCCTGACTGCTTAGACTAAAGGTGTGCTAGTATACCTGGAAGTCAGCCTATGGCCCAGACTTTACAGGTCCAGCTGGGCCCTCAGCCTCTCACACTAATGACCACCACAGGCTCCTCCTGAAATGTCCTCTCACCTTGTCCATTCCCCTGCTGTCTTCCATGTGCTCATTCCTTGGAGCTCCTTCCTCAGAAACATATCTGCTCTCCAACCTTCAGCTGCACCCTTGCAAGATGCCCAAACCACTCTATCTTCAATCTGGGGTCCGTGCTGAGCTCTGGGCCCACCTACTCCAACTCTGACCTCCAGGAACTCCAAACCACTCCTCATTGGGTACCCAGAGGGAGGCAGCTAGATCGCCTCAAATCTTAGGAGTTAATAAGATATTGATTCAGTGACTTTCCCCTTCCAGGGAAGTTCCTCTTCCTGACTTCTTGAATTCTGTCCATGGGGCAGAGGATGTCCCATGTGACAGGGATATCCTCTGCCCCATGGGCAGGAAACCTCCCACTCATTTATGACTATATCCTCTTCTTCCCTGAGCAGGGATATTAGCTACCAAACCCTACCTGAATAATGTCTTTGCCACCTATTCAAGTTTGACTCCCCATCTTGGTTTCTAGAAAGCATGGCTTCTGCAGCCAACATGTCCTTGGGCATGATCTGGGGACCCTGAAACTTGAATGGAGAAGCCAGAGCAGGATATTAGATAGATTGGGAGTCAGGAGACCTTGGGTCTTGACCTTGGGTGAGTTTTTTCTTTCTCTCAGTCTCAGTTTCCCCATTTGAAAGTCATCAGGTTGAACTTGATGATCTCTAAGGGTCCTTCCTTCTTATTTCTGCCACCTAATGATCTAGGAACACTTGCAAAATGTCTGAGCTCTGGGAATAACAAACCTACCTGGGTTTTTTTCATCCTTGTGTTGACTGAGTTATAATTCTCATCAGCTTCCTCCTTCTGGGGCTCTATGGCTGTGGGAAGACACAGGGTATTGGTGGGGAAGGGGTTTTGACCTGTAGCTTCGGAAAATCATGTGGGGACCAGGACACAGGGCCAGGACCATACCCCATCCATACAATAGAAAGGTGCTTATCTCTACAAGATTCTTTTGGGAATTATAATTTACCATAAATGACTAATTCTGAGCCTCTGATGGGAGAAAGCATATTTTTCTTCACAATACATCAGAGAATTCCCACAGGTATGCAGAGGCCTCTTGACAAACTCCCATCTGCCTGTCCAAAGAGTGCACATTGGGCAGCAAGAATTGTAGGAGTAAGTGGTTTCCTTATAAATAAAGGAGCTCAAGAGGCAGGCATGTGCTGTGGAAGGTACTATGGACTGGAAGCCAAGAGACAAAGATTCTAGGCCTAGGCCTGCTGTGTGACCTGGATACATCACTGGCCTCTCTGGGCCACATACTCCCCAGATATACCAGGAGCTGGGCAGGACCACAGGGAAGGATGAGGTCTTCGGAGCTCACCCTTCAGCTGCGCTCGGATCTCCCTCCCCAGCTGTTTGATCTCATCACGCAGGTTCTGCAGGTCCTGCTTCATACCTGAACAAGAGACAGCCATGACTCCCAAACAGTAGCCCCCATCTCAACAAACCTCCCTAGCCACCACCTGCATCGTACTACAATCCCCACAATCCCTCTGGCTGAACATGCGTTGACGCTTCGGGTTTCACTCACTCTCCTCGGGAAGGGGCGTGGCCAGGATGGTGACCTGCTGCTTCTCCAACTCTCGGACTTTATTCTCCAGCTTGACAATAGTCTGTCGAATTGTCCGGACCTGGGGAAGGTGACCAAGAGGGCTGAAGGAGATACGGGGGTACTCCAGACTGCGCTGTTCCTCGGGTCATCCAGCCCCCTCGTGAAGACAGGCCGAGACCCCAGCCTCTTACCTTTTGGAAGAACTCATCGTCCGGGCTCCCCAGCCGTGCGGTGCCCGGGTGTACCACCAGCGCGACCCGCTCCTTGTCCTCATCGTCCGAACTGTCATCCCCCTGCCAGGGCCGGGGTTGCTGGCATCACTTCCCTGCTGTTGCTCTCTCCCCGCAGGACTCACGGACTTCCGGGTCTTTCCTTTCCTAGCCCTCAGCCACCCCTCCCTACCCCTAAGACCAGGAGTCCTGTATTCCAGCCAGACCCCATCCCGTCCGCCCGTCCCCAACTCTGCAGCCCCTACTTCTCACCTGCCTCAGTTCGTGGGTCCTGTCGCGCATGGCGGCCCGAGCTCCCTTCCCCGGCACGGGAGACCCGAGGGCCTCAAGACTAAGTTTAGAACGCCCGTACCCCACTCACACTCTGACACTGACACTCCCCTCCGCCTCACCCTGCGGACCCCCAAGCTCCCTACGAGCCACCAGAGGCTCTGTGCCAGGTACCATCCACAGTCAATGCGAAGAAGCCGACCTTGGGTACCCCCAAGATTCCACAGGTTGGAATTCCCTTTTCTTTCCCCCCCTCCCTCTCCCTTAGCCTCGGCCCCGCCCCTCTGGGATGATCGGGGCATGCGCGTGGGGTCGCGTCTCTTCCTCGCCAGAGGGAGAGGCGGAGGTCGGAAGCTGTAGCGCCCCGAACGGAAGCAAAGCTGCCCGGACGTGAGAACCCGCCCCCTTTGCCGGAACCGTCGCATCTTCCAACGGAAATCTAGTTGCCAAACCGGGTGGGAATGCGTCATTGGTACGTAATCTGAGAGGCCCTGCATCTCATATCACGCCATGGTGCCCCTCCCCCCCCCCCGCGTCACATGACCGGCTCGGTCCCACCCTCGAAGACCACAGAACGTGACGCTTTGGTTGTCACGTGTCTCGGCGCTGTAGACTCCATCTCTGGAATACCCTTCCTCCCTACGAAGTCCTCGGCACCCCGGCGCCCAAACTACGCCCCTCCAGCCCCCACGAGGCGGGGAGGGGTCTGCTGACTATTCTCAGAGACCCTTTGAGGCAGTGGGTGGTAGGACCCTTGATGAATTCTTTCTTTTCCGCCCAGGGGCGTGGGCAGAGAACTTAAAATTCGGAGCTGTTAGCATCATGGGACCTTGAAATTCAGGAAATAATAAGATCCAGCGTCAGAGAATTGCAGGGTTTTGTAGACAGAGAATCTGGGGGTGGAAAGTGACCTCACCCAAGACAGAAATCTCCCGCATGCTCCTGGCTCAGCCTCACAGGTGGGCGGCTGGCGCCCTGCTTGAACACTGCAGTTCCGCTGCACTCACCACCTTCCGAGCATGAGACCATTTCAGGGCAACTAAAGCTGAGAAAAGTGTCTGTATTATATTGAGCAGTCTGCCACTTACATCTCTCTCATCAGGGTCTACCCTCTGAAGCCCACAAAAAAATCTGCACTCATTCCACATTATAGTGGACTGTGAGCTCTTGAGGTCAGGGCATGACAGTCTTGTTCGTAGGTGAATCTCCAGTGCCTAGTTCAGTATGGGCCCTCAGTAAATATCTGTGGACAAACCTTTAGCCTTTCATGTACCTAAAGATAAAGCTGGTGGTTCTTGTGTTTCAGACTTTAGCCTCTCATGATGACACTTACCTAACCCTCTAGACGGTATTCATGCAATGCATATTTATTGGGCACTTATGGGCCAGGGACTGTTCTAGGGGCTGGAGATAAATCAGGGCCTAACAGACAAAAATCCTTTCACTTGTGGACCTTACATTATGTAGGAGTCGTCCCCAGGGCTATTCAGTGAGTCTCAGCATAGCCAGAATAAAAGTCAGGTCTCCTGGATTCCAGGGAATTTAATCTTTTTAACGTTTATTTTTGAGAGAGAGTGTGAGGGGGAGAGGGACAGAGAGAGAGGGAGGCACAGGATCGGAAGCAGGCTCCAGGCTCTGAGCTGTCAGCACAGAGCCCGACACGGGGCTCGAACTCGTGAACCGTGAGATCATGACCTGAGCTGAAGTCAGACACTCAACAGACTGAGCCACCCAGGTGCCCCTCTTTACAGGCAATTGACATGAAGGTTCAAGCAAAGGAAGAATGACCTCTCTCTAGTATGCCCTGGTAAGGAAATCTAGAGTCCTGTGACCGAGTTGCGCGGAGTTCTGGAAAGTCACTTCTTGTCTCTGGGCTTCAGTCTCCCATCTGTACAATGGGTGGCATAGAGGGATGGGGAGATAATCTCTATGGGTATTCCCTGCTCTAAAGTTCATTGATTATGAGGTTGGAAACTGTAAAATACGCTCTGATTCTACTGGAAGGGCTTTGATCCTTCTCTTCCCTTCAGAACCCAGCTCACCTGGGGCTGGGAATGAAGGAGTGAAGATGGTGCTGCACTAATCAACTGACAGGAGGAATGAAGCATTGGAGAATTTTTCAGGAGGCCAAGCCTTGTCCCATGGGGTCCCCTGGAGATCATGAGGAAGGATTTCTCCACTCTTAGGTCTTCTGTGTCATCCTCTGCCTCCCTTCCCTTCCCTTCCCTCCCCTTCCCTTCTCTCTCTCTCTCTCTCTCTCTCTCTCTCTCTCTCTCTCTCTCTCGCTCTCTCAGTGCGACAGTGGAAGGGCTTTTGGACACCTGACTCCTAGTCCTGCATGTGATCTGGGATAACTCATTGCTCCTCTCTGGGACTTAATTTCTCCATTTGACAAATTGGTCTGGTAATTTTTGTCTTGCCTAAGGTAAGAATTGAACAGTTAAAAAGACTGTTAGGTTAGAAAGACTATGGAGGGGTCTTGTGAACTGTTGAGAGTTGCCCCTTTGTGGGGTTTTATTTTTTTAAGTTTATTTATGTATTTTGAGAGAGAGAGAGCAGGGGATGAGCAGAGAGAGAAAGAATCCCAAGCAGGTTCCACACTGTCAGCATGGAGCCTGATATAGGGCTCAAACTCATGAACTGTGAGATCATGACCTAAGCTGAAATCAAGAATCAGACGCTTAGGCTGCCTGGGTGGCTCAGTCAGTTAAGCATCCGACTTCAGCGCAGGTCATGATCTCACTGTCCGTGAGTTTGAGCCCCGCGTTGGGTTCTGTGCTGACAGCTCAGAGCCTAGAGCCTGTTTCAGATTCTGT